TAATTAACTAGTTTGGGGATATTAAATTTAAGAAATACAAGACAAATTACAGATATTTTTTAGAAATTTTTGTTCAATAAATTTAAAATTTGATTTATATTTTAATAATATTTTTGTATTTAAATATAAAGCTTATTGGAGAGGAGCATATTGAAAATGAGTAATTTTTTATATTTGTAATTACAATAACAAAATTTAATAATATAACTATTAACTTTATTATTAGAATTATAACAATTATAGTCAAAATTATATATAAATATTTTTAAAATATATTTGATATTTATAATTATTTTAATAATAAAAAGAATTGTAATTAAAAATACAATAGATTATTAATAAAAAAGTTGGTTAAACTTGTCAAAAAAATATTAACATTCAAATTAAGCTAAAAAAAGAAAAGATTTCAAAAAAAAGAAAAGAAAAAATTAACAAAATAAAGAAAAAGATCCAAAAAAATAGAGAAATAAAATTAGAAAATAGAAAGAGAAAAAATAAGTTAATTATTACTTTTTATTTAATATAATTTGCTATATTTTTTTGATTATATTTATTAATTATTTAATAATTTTTTTTAGTATTAATAATATAAATTATTATTTTAGATATTCTTATTTTATATTTATATATTACATATATTATATTATTATAATAAAATATTTATTTATTATTTATTATATATATTAATAAAAAAATATATCCAATTTTAAAAATGAAAATTACTGATTTTTTAGGAAATGTAATAAATTATATCAGAAAACATAACAAAATATACCAGTTAATAAATTAAAATTAAAAAATTACTGATTTTTATTAGAAATAAATTAGAAAATATAATGAAATATATCAGAAAATATACAAGTAAATAAATTAAAATTATAAAAATATTAATTTTCATCAGGAATAGATCAGAAAATGTAATAAAATGTACTGGTTAATAAATTAAAATTATAAAAATTACTGATTTTCATCAGAAATAGGACAGAATATATAAAGAAATATACCAATTAATAAATTAAAATTATAAAAATTACTGATTTTCTTTAGGAATAGATCAGGCTATATAATAAAATATTATAAAAGTTAGTTTCAGAAATAATTTAAAATATAGCAAAAAATCTGGAAATTTGCTAAATTTCCCAGTTGCGTTTCCAGAATTCGCCGATTTTGAATACCATTCAAAAGCTTTCTTGTCATCTTTTTGTACGCCAATACCATTTTCATAATATAAACCAAGATTGCCTTGTTCATTACTATTACCACCCTCTGCAGATTTCAAATACCACTCAAAAGCTTTTTTATTATCTTTTTGCACGCCCATGCCATTCTGATAACAGAAGCCAAGATTAATTTGTCCACCTGTATTTCCACTCGCTGCTGATTTTAGGAACCATTCAAAGGCTTTTTCGTCATCATTTTGTACGCCAATGCCATTTAGATAACAGAGACCAAGATTACTTTGTCCATTTGTAAATCCAGCATTTTCCGATTTCAAATACCATTCAAAACTTTTGTAATCTTTTTGCACGCCAATGTCGTTTTGGTAACAAAAACCAAGACTGCATTGTCCACGTGCATTTCCAGAATTTTCTGATTTTGAATACAATTCAAAAGCTTTTTGGCTATTTTTTGCTACTCCAATTCCAAACTAATAGGTGTATCCAAGAAAATATTGAATCAATGCATCATTTTTATCTGCATATTTCTCAAAAATCCCCAATGCCAATGCATGGTTTAGTTTGACGATACATCCTGTCTGATAAAGAAAGCCCAATAGTAATTTATATCGAGGTTCATCAAGAGAGTTTTCTAAATAATATTCAAAATCAAAAGAATCTTGATAATTTTCAATATAATATGATTATAATTTAGGGCTATTTTACTGTGTTCATCAGTGTTGAGCAACTTGTAAAAAAGAATTGCTAATTCGTTAATCGCTGGCTTGCTTGTAGTAGATAGCCATTCGATTTCTTTTAGTTGCTCATCAACTTTATCAATATTCGGGCGATTTTCTGGTTCATCATCCCAACATTCTTGATGTAATTCTACATATTTATCTGGAGTTCCATACATTCTTTTTTCTTTCTCTGTTGAAGAGCAGTGAAAATCTCCAAGTTTATGGATTGGAGGTTGGCCACTAGAGATAACCCAAAATAATATACCAAGTCTATAAATATCCGAACTTTTATTCCGACGAAAATTTTCCATATCTCTTAGAACGCAGGATCGTTATAACATAAAAGCCTAATTTAGTTTGCGAATGAAAATCGTCATCAGAGAGTTTTGAATAGCCTAAGTCAGAAATTTTGATGTTTCCCTTATGAATAAGAATATTATTATGATTCTATTAACAAAAAATATAAAAATATAAGCATTAGATTTGAATCAGCCTGAAAATTTAAAATGTTATTTCTAAAAACTAACTTACTAAATCCCGATGAATAATACCTTCTTCATGAATAAACTTTAACCCTTTCGCGAGTTGCTTTGCTAACGATAACTTGTCACTCCCGTTCAAACGTACAAAATGAGATTTCAAATAATCTTCAAGAGTTCCTCCATCAGCATACTTCAAAACAAGTATATATTTTTGAGAATCTAGGTCTAGTGAATTAATTTTACCTTTAGTAATTCCATAAAGACGAATTATATTTTTGTGTGATTAAATTTAATAAGGATTTTTAGATAAAGATAATAAATGTAATACTCGCAATCTTTTTCTAAAATAGTAATTTTTAATTTCAATAGTTTTTTAATATTAATGTGCAGGTACCTCTTTAATGAATTGCTTATACACCTCCTCTTTGGAATTTTCATCTTTGATATAAAGAACATTTCAGAGCTACTATTAGGTCATAATTTTTCAATTCAGCTTTAAAAACTTCACCAAAAGCTCCATATCCGAGCACTTTTTTATTGATGAATTTACTAAACTCGAAATATTTTATTTAATTTCTGAAATTACACTTTCTAGCCAAGCTGATGCCATTTTCTCGATGTTTAGCCATTACTATCGTTACTACATGTATTACGATATTTTATAATAGTTACACGTTACGTATCGGTATGTCACACACTTTGAATCAATGATGATCTGTTATCGTTATCATTAGATGCACGTATCAGTACGTAATTACCCGTTACATGTACCATTTGACATTGTTCAATTGAAAATAACTACGTATTGGTCAATTTCCATTAATATATGTTGATCAACCAATCAAATTGCAAAGATCAATATGTAAAATTTTTGAAAAATAATTACAGATAAGCGCACCCCTTGGGACCATATTAAAAAAGACTGCATTTAGAAAAGGTGTGCATTTATAGAGAACAAATAATTAGAGGACTTATAAGTTCGGAACTGAGCCATAGCATGCATTTAGGGAGAATGCATATAGTGTGAGCGTTTAAAGAGGGTACACTCAGAGAGATTTCTCTGTAGTATTAGTATCTGTATTCTAATAAAATGTAATAATCATAATTACCATATAGTTTCAGAAATAAGCACTTAGTGTTCCTATGAACCGAACAGAACCGGACTTTTGTCCAGGTTCGAAATTCGAACCGAACTCGAACCGAACTGTTATATGAGTTCGATTTGAGATTGGTATATAGTATCATATACTGATTAGTAGCTCTAAATATGAGCTGCAACTTTGCTTAACTATTTATAGTATTTAATAAGAATTAAAAGTTTACTTAATGATAACTAAAGTAATTTCATTTTTATATTTATAAATTTTATTATAAATTCTATATAACTCTTCAAATATTTATTATTAATAGCAATTATTATATACCAATTTATAGATCATATTTCTGGCTACAACTTTGCTTAGAATTGTAGTTTATAGTTACTATTGAGAAATAAATATTCACTAGAACATAAATAAATAAACCTATATAAATTTTTGAATATTCATCCTAAATATTAACTATCTTATGCCAATTTGTAGTGCTAGTTATAATCTACAAGTTTACTTAGAACATTATCAAATATTACTTGAACTCGAACTGGACTTTTTGTCAGGTTTGAGTCAGGTTCAAATTTTTAAACTCGAACTGAACCAAACACCACTTTTTGGCGGATTTTGAGGGGGGATGGTTAAACTCGGAACAATGTTCCCGACAATGTAATTTTTATAGAATCTCTTTAAACCACCCTACCACCTTATCCGAGCGCGCACATAAAGTCGATCAATATAGAGTTATATACAGTGGTTCACTTAAGAAATCATACATAAAAAAAATGGTGAGATTCGAATATCTCGCCTCTGAATTTGAAGAAGAATAAATATTATATCTGCTATTAAATTTTAAATTTATTTATAATGTGCTTATTTCCAGGACCACTTTTTTCAGATACGATATCTTGTCATCTAGGGATTGAATTCGCTCAAAAGTTGCAACTCGTTGAAATTCAACTAAACTGTTACTTTCTAGTCAAATTGAATGGTGTTATTTATGTGCAAGTCCGATCACTGTGAATTTATATATGTTGCAAGTACACTTAGTGTCTTTCGGCCAACACTAATCTTATCACCAGCACTGTATTGATGATCTGCATAAAATTCACAATTTTATTTAATTAAAGTCATTAACATTGAAATTGAATTCAAATATGATAAAAGTCATTAAAAAATTTAACATAAATTTAATCAACATTGAAATATAACAATAAATTCTATCGCTTTACTCATAAATGGAAACTCAGAACTCTATTTTTATATTATAGTATTAGTAAACGCCTAAATTGTAATTTTACAAATTTACAGTATCAAGAAAGAAAAAGAAAATTTAACCAAATCACAGCTTAACCAAAAAGCTAGCATTTTGTTGACTTATTATTTTATATTATCTTTCCTTTTTAAGTTATAATACTTGATATGATGCTATTTAAAAGTGGATGTCTTATACTGTACGTAGCCGAAGTCGAATTTGATTTGATTAACAGAGCAATCAAATTGATTCAATAAAATTATTGCGTTAAACGCATCATGGATCAAATCTCCGGCATCATTATTAGTGTCGGTGTTGGACGGGTGTTATAAATTAGTGTAAAGCAGTGATAGTATGATGACATTCAATTGTTGTATCATTCAAAGAGAGCGATCCAACAATTTTTACTGTTTCTTTAGGAGATGGGTTGTTTATTAAGTGAGCTAGACATGGTGGTGAAGCAAACATATATTGCTTATATTCGCGAAAATCCATTCCTAATGGTTAATGCTTATACTTATAATTAGGATATGAGCTTTTGTGATTCTCATTTTTGATATTTCGCCAATTTAAACTACATTCCTTTGCGTTTTTTAATTTTTGGATTGACATATTTATTGCATGAATGTGCATCATAATCGCTTCGAAAATTATCCAGCTGTTTTATGGCTGTGTCAGTTTGTCATTGATGATGATGCATACGAAACAACGAAAAGATAGACACAACCAGAGAAAGTATTTGGTATAAGATTGTTTGAGCTTACGCTTAGGTTCTCACAGGTCTGTTAAACTTTTTTCGCGATGATCAATTTCCGAAATTTTTATCGAGTCGGCCATGCATGTTCGACATGCTGCTCTCAGTTACGTACGTACGTAATTTGTTAAGTGTTTCATAAAAAATTTGGACTCATTCTTACTCAACTCTGATATTCTTGGATACCATCGATATGAACATTATTTAAATTATTTGAGTTTAGATTTTTTTAAACTCGAAAAATTTTATTCCCAATACTGAGTGTTTATTTCTTGTTTCGTATCGGTATGCACCATCATGATAAACTAACACGACCAAACCGTTTTGACGACCCGACCGCTCTGTCTAAAAGTGTTGATATAACGGGCGTGGCTTGTATTAGCCAAATACCACACAAAACAAAGCGCCAAAAAATAGGTATTGCGAACCGAGTAATACAAGAAAAACGACGAAAATTGCAGGAAGCCGTCTCACCTTCCGAATTCGACTTTTACGATGCTGAAGTCGAGCAAGTTGGCACAAAAAGTTTCAATCTTACCAATCACATATGTGTCACATGATTATATGTCATGTGTTATATATAAAATTTCTCACAATTTATTAGTACGTAAATGTTTGAATGACTGCTATTACTATGGTGCATAACATCTAAAGTCGTCAAACGTTAGTATTTTATAAAATGGATAAACTTCTTTACTAAGAAGTAAATACAAAATTTAAACCGTGAATATGATAGAATAGCCCTTTCTGAGAATATTCACGGATTAAATTTTGTATTTACTTCATGGCAAAGAAGTTTATACATTTTGTAAAATACAAACGTTTGATAACTTTAGATGTTATGCACCATACTCAATCAAAAATAAATTAAAATAAGTAATATTGATTGTCTTTGATAAGAGCAATAGAAATTACTTATTTTATTTTGATTGATACAATATTGACACAGTTTTAAGCAAGCAACTTCTATAGACTGTGTTATAAAAGAGTTCCGAAATAGAATAATATATATATATATATGTATGTGTATGTGTATGTGTATATAATTTTAAATTTTAATGCGAAATTTGCACATTTACAAATAAAAAATACTAAAAAAAAAAACACCACGAGGAAATTTTAGTGTACGAAAAACAAGAAATGCACAAAAAAGGATGTCAGTGAACAGGAGGAGGGAAATTGTGTTAACATCTGGAACTAAATATTTTTCGTAATGAAACAATCTATAACGATAATATGGTGAAGGAACTCTTAAATCGACAATATGTTTCATGTTAAAAGGAGTAAATCTAAAATTTAACCGGTAATATTACAGAAAAAGGCTTTCTTGATAATATTACCGGTCAAATTTTGAATTTACTTCTTTGTTAAGAAGTTAATAGAATTTTAACATGAAACATATTGTCGATTTAAGAGTTCCTGCACCATATTATTCGTTTAACGTTAACTTCACCAAGCAATCAAGTTTGCTGATATTGATATTATTTATGGATCCCGAAGTTGTTAATACGTAGTTTGCTGATGTAGCACATTATTTTTTAAATATACATGTATATACCCGGATACTACGTAATCATCTCCGGATACATACTACGTATTTAAATGTAGTAATGAAAGTATCCAGATCTAAATCATGGAGGGTATTAATTTTGGGGGACACTCTAAATGGTACTTTGACCTACGCTACATTGCATTGTTTCCACAAACATCCCCAAAATGTCCTAATAAACAAACGACAAGTCTTTTTTAGTACACAGTGAAATTCTTTATAGTGTAGGCTTTTTATAGTATATCTCTCGATATAGTGAAGCTTGTTAAACAAAAATGTCATACAATTTAGTAAACTTTTTCATTTTATAGTGGATAATTCGTTATAGTGGAGAATTCCTTGTGACTTTACCCCTACACTATAAAGAAAGTGACTGTGTACATTCATGGCCTCTTCATTATGAGCACTAGCCTTACTTTCAGCACAATTGCACAATGATAGTAAATGTATATTTGTTGAACAGTACAATGCTCGCCATATATAATGAGAAAAACATGCCGTTTTTATTTTTGCATTATAAAAACTGCTTGAAAATTCACAGATATATAATTTAATATATTGCAAACAAGATTTTAAGACTACTTAATAACATCTTATTTCTAATATTTGATTTTATTTTGATATAATGCTATAAATTTAATTAAATTTTCTTTGTTGGCTTTTTTTAATACTTTAAGTTGTCTTAAAAAACTTGTTCGTAAAATATCAAAGTATATATATTTAAATTTTTATATGTTTTCAATCAATTTTCATGATATAATAAAACTATCATTTAGATTAATTGACTTAGTTTCATTTTACTGCTCAAAAAAATAGGTTTCATCTGGATAAAAATCAGATTAAATAATGTTAAAAATTATAAACTTACAATTATGCTCTTGTTTTTGCTCAAAAGCAAAAATGTATCAAAAAATTGCATTTCTATATCTATTTTTATCCATATTTTAGATTATGATATATAAAATCTAAAGTCATCAAATATTTATATTTATAAAATGAATAAACTTCTTTATTAAAAAGAAATACAAAATTTAATTCATAAATATAATAAAATAGATCTTTTCTGAATATATTTATAAATTAAATTTTGTATTTACTTTTAGTAAATAAGTTTATATATTTTATAAAATATAAATATTTAATAATTTTAGATTTTATATACTATAAGATTTACAAATTGTATTAACTAATTAAAAAACAATAAATTCATATGAAAAATCTTTATTCATTAATCATTTTTAGATTACTGATCCAAATTTTTTTGTACTAAAAAAATAAAACTAACAAATTGTCAAATTATCAATAACTCAAGCTTTTATTAAGCAAATTCAGACTAAATAACTAAGAAAAAATGCTTAGCATGCAATTTTGAATATAATAATCTAAATATATATTTATTGATTATTTGTATAAAAATTATTATAATTAGAAATATATTAGATATAGTTAAAATAATTTTTTTAAAATATTCTAAATATAAATTAATAGTTTTCTTATAATATTAATCTAAAAAAAAGTTGAAAATACAAAAATTTTGAAGTAAATTATCTAACCGATAAGCTTTTATTATTTATATATTATTAAAAAACAAGTTTTAGCTAGAAAAGTTAATTTAAAATTTTAATTGATTTCTTATTCATATTTTTTTTAGCTAAAACTTGTTTTTAATAATATAGATATAATAATAAAAACTTTCTAATTAAAAATTTACTTTAAAATTTTTGTATTTTTAATCTTTTAGATTAATATTATTATTAATTTAAATTATTTTGTTTAATTTATTAAAATGTTCTAAGAAAATTATTTTGACTATAAAAGAAAATTATTTCTATTTGTATTTGGTATATTCTCTAATTGTACTAAGACTAGTACTCTTATTGACTTCAGATTGCAGTATAACAATAACAAATATAATTATAACAAATACTCTAATAATTTATTATAGTTTTGATATGATAAACTTGATATTCTATCAAGTTCAATACAAAAATATGTGTTAATTTTTCAAAAAAGTTGCAATTTCATACTTATTTTTACCTGTACTTTAGATCACAGATGAAATCTATCCTGTTCAACCAGTGTTTATAGGATTCGATCAGATAATTGGAAGTAATTACAATAAGATATTCTATAAATAGTCTTAAGTAAACTTGATCACAACATATAAAATCGTATATCTGCATATTTTTGCTTTTTTTTATAGCACAATAAGGAAAAACAGCATTTTCATTATATATGACGAGTACTGTATAAGCAACATCTCTATAACAGAAGTTATATACAAGTGAACAACATCTGCAGGATCTAGCTTTGGCTATTACCAACACAGATTCCTGAACAACAATATTCTCCAAACTATTTGTCACGTCCGCAAATCTGTCATTCGTATGTAACTGAATTCGCATCTAAGTGAGAACGATTGCTCCTTGCCTGATCTGAATCTTTACGTTGCTACAGTCACCTGCGAAAATAATGGCGGTGAGATTGTTATATAAATTTTACTACAATACTGACCTTTTTTATAGAAACAAAATATATAATAATAGTGCTAGATTTCTAGCAAGATAATAAAATTAAAAAAATAAATGTGATGAATTTGCGAAAGCACATCACGACAAGTCATGTTTCCGATTGCAGGTTTTTAAAAGTTTCAAAGCTTATTTTCTCGATAATCAATATCAGATTTTTATGATTTTGGTCTTATTAGATTCGCCTCAATAAGACGAACATTTTGGTAGTAATTTTATTCGAATCAGAATAATAGTGACCTAGTTATTGCGGAGTTTAGTTTTTTTTTTTTAGTTAAAACGTTTAAGTTACAAAATTTTGAATTGTATTCATACTTGCATTGACACGGAAAGAGAATACACCAAGTACTGATATTCTATGAGTATAATGCCTACTCAGATGCACTTTCAAAATAATTTTTTTAATTTTATTATACAATTAAATTAAATTAAATATAATAAAAAAACTGGCCGTCATTATTTTCGCCGGGACTGTAAATGGGATTGATACAATCGTTGTGCTGATAATTCGACCTCGCGCTGAATTTATGATGGAGGTGCTTTGATAATTCTCTGAGTGATGAAAAAGCTTACTCCGGTGACTAGTTAGAACACATCATTTGTGGACAGAACGATAAGGGATTGTCGATATGTAGAGAAGTGAAAACTCTTCCTATCGCGTCAACGATTTGACACAGATTGACTCTTGTGCCAATCATGGAATGGCAAACTTTCCAGCGTATTATCTTGCTAAGCAGGCATATTGACGTAGAAGATATTTGTATAAAATGAGCATCGACCCGAGATGGAGAACTTTGCACCTAGCAGTAAACTCCCAACAAAGCTGGGCACACGTGTTACACCCCATGTAGTTGGAAGTAAACAATATTTCGGCATATACTTGTCGGGATTCTTCGAATGTCATTTCGGAGGCTCTTCGACATAGATAACAACCGCTTTCAGACCTGAAAAGACTTGTCATTGAACACTACTTAAATCTTCTATATCTGTTAAACAAGGTCGGAAAACAGATTTATCCCATTGACATTCAGTTAAAGTCAACCAATTGATTGCATGACAATGCAGCCATAAGCCATTGTTATTATATAATGATCACTCTAAATGCCAATGGTCGTGTGACCATTTTGAATCAAAACATGTGGATTTTTTGTCTCTAAGCCAAAGCCAAATCCAAATTTCAATGACAGTCACGTACAGTTAACACTGCGAACATCAACGTATTCGGATGATTCTGGCGGCAAGGTTTCAAGTTTCCAGATCGTAGTATGGAGGCACTTCAACAATTTCGTCAACTTGGACTCGAATCGCTGACACTAGAAGAAAAGAAAGCAAAAATCGTGGCATTTTGCACAAAGTACCATAGCGTCCAAATTCCATTGGATATTGGTAGACATGGTTATCTACGCCTCTTTTCAGCCAGACACTCGCATTATCTCGATGAATGGGTGCTGGAAGAGTATAACGAGACACTGGTGTTGTATGTTGGCTCTTAAGATGATGGTTTATATATGTACTTAGGTTATAGTGGTAAATTGCACAAATCTGTTGGCAGTTGTGTGATCACAAAGCTGTAAGGTGTTCGAATAGATAATACTATAATCGCATATACTTCTTCTATACTTTTTTGTTTACTGTAAAAAACAAACCTGAAAACGTGCTAATACAATTTATGTGTTATACTGTTTATGCATTTAGAATTTTTTTTTAAAAAAAGTAATTTATTTTTTGATATTAATGAATATAAAAAAACTATCTAACAGTGTTTATTTTAGCTTAAAGAACTCAAATAATTTCGAATAATTTCGGAATTAGTTTCAGCATTTTGACTTTATTAAGAAAGATAGTTTCTACGGCATGTATAGATAGGAGTAAAAAAATTGTCCTAGAACGAAGGACAATATTAGAATTCTGGCCAATATAACTTTTTGTGTTGTTGTTATTACTGGTCTTGTTGTTGGTTAAGAAGAATTGTCCCGAAGCGAAGAATTCCTTATAATGTTTACCTTAGCCCTCTTGAAGACCATATTTTGTGCTATTGTTAATCTATACTATGGCAAATAATAAGAGAAAACGAATTTCTAATCTCTGCTAATTCATTTGATACTACCGCTACGATCATTTTCAATTTACTAACGTTAAAATTTAAATGATCCGATATTAACGTATAGACTGATTTGACTATTTTTGGCATCTCACTATTTTTGCTACTTCCATAACTAATTTTAATATTTCTACATTTAAAGACGCCAATCACATGACTTGTCCCAAACAGAAATTTAAATGGCCGAAAAATCGTTTTTACACCACTTACAAAAAATCATGAATTTATCATAAAATACGTATCATTTGCTAATTACATGTAGTTTATTGCAATAACCAATAAAATAACAAAACGTGACTCGAGATTCACCAATCAAAATTGATTTAATGATCACAGGTCACAACTCACCCACAATCGATTTTCCCTTCACGTGATTTTTCCGACTCGAAACCATGACAAGAAAATGAAAAACGTGAAAAATACAAGAAACAGATGCTTAAATCTAACTTGTGCACTAATAAAAAAATAACAGGAAGGCAATTTTACATATAACTTCACTATAACTCTAATACAAACCCTAACCCTTAATTAGTGCGTAATGTTTCGGGTAATTGTTATGACCGGGGGAAATCGGTTCGAAAAAATCACGTAAAGGGAAAATGGTGAGCTGTAAAGAATAAATAGCGAGTCTTTATTAATTATATATTCTATTGTGTTTACCAATACATACACGCACAATCATTTAATGAGTCCATTCAAGTTGTAAATCCTGAATCCGAGCAAAGATTACATACACAAAAGATTAATAATCTTTCGACACGCGATACGCGTCTTACATCTTACGAATCTGTGCTATATATTACCAGTACCACGTTCGTATTACTAATGTTTTGCTATCGCGATTACAAAAAGAAAAGTGTGGAACATGATCCATCACAGAATAACCTATAAAAGGATGTCATGTCGGCCCGTGCTTACAAGTTTAGCAATTGCGTGTCAATCATCGGCCCTGTTTTTTATTGCTTTAGCGAAAATTCCGTGCGTTACGTGTTTTTTGCATCTCTATATAAGCACGAATTTTTGCAATTCGTCTATTGTCAACTCAGTTTTTATATTAAATTTTATTTGCTTGTGTGGCTTTAATGCTTGTCATCGTTACTATAATTATTTTTGATTTTGATTTTAATTCCATTGAAATTTGAATCGCGACTATGGAACTAATAGCAGAAACCACTCCATTACTTACAACCACCAGCACTGATAATAGTGCACCATACGGTTCTACTATTATTTACATAGAGAATGACGGAAAACAGCATGAGATACCTAGTTTAAATGAAAATGAAAGCAACGTAATTAAAAATAATCCTGAAAAAGATGAAGATGAAAACTACTTGTGGTATTTAGGTAATTAAAATGGAATCGAATTTTTTTAATTGATAATGTATTTTAATGATTCCAACAAACCAAAAGCATACGGAAGTAACATGAACAGAGCAATATTCGTCGAAAGACGAGGTATAAAGCCCAAACTCGCGCGTGCATGCCACGTGCCCAACTATTTTTTATCATTCGACCTTAAAGCAAATCCTTACATGGAACCCACCTACGCAAATATACTCCGTTTCTCCCCACCACTGCCAATTGACGGCAGCCACCCAACAATAACACGAGAATACGCCTGGGAAGTGCATCGTCGTTGTAATACAGGTGTACCGTTTGAATAGGACGAAAAAAATCCCATGGGTTCGTTGCCTCCTATGCTCCAAGGTGTACTTTATAAAATCACTAAGAAACAATATCAAATGCTTGTAATAAGTGAAGGTGTATGGGGATGGGATGATGTTCCGCTTGGATATAAGGATATTGATGTCGAATGTGTGACGTATGATGGAGAGAAAATTATCGCAAGAACATTGATTGTGAAGCCAGAATGTATTTCAAGTGATTTACAGATTTCTGAAAGGTTTTTATTCTCAATGTAAATAAATAAATACCATTCGATGTTAATTAAGTTTCCTTTCCTCTCTTTCCAGATACCATAACATATTACAAGAAGGTGCACGCGAACATAACATGGACGTCAACTATCAAACATACCTCGCCACAAAAATTATGCCATACAAAATTACAACCACCAGAAAAAAAATTGCAAAGGCGCTATTTCTTGTGTTGTTCTTTCCGCTTCTCTTTATTTTAATCGTGGTTAGTCTAATTTCAATGAAGACTGGTATGCGTGTGCCTAGATGGTTTGCTGTCTACTTATCATATTTGTGGGAAGGAATGCATACGGTGCATAATAGGTTGTTTGAGCCGTATTTTGGAAGTGGGAATAATACCTTGGATGTGTGAGTACAATTGTTTTTATATTTATTTTTGTTAATAAAGAAAATTTTAATATGCAGATTCCAATTAATGCCAGTTAGTTTTTTTAAAGAAGGACCAACTTTTAAAGAACAACCACACAAAAAAATTTATTTCTGGAATGCCTCTTAGTAGGGCATCATCCTCTTAAAAATTAATACATAATGTATTCTCCTTCCATGTCAAGCAGGCTTGAATATCAATTTGACATTCATTCATGTGATTGTCTAATTTATATCGATCCAAGCAGCGTAGATCATTTTTAAATTCTATTGGTTAATAAATTATCATACTTTCTTAATGATGGGGTGATTTTATTCCCCCAGCAAAATAAATTTTTTCTTGCTAACCAAACTCCCTAAACCCCGTTTCTTTTCTTCCAAACCAGAGAACAATTAGATAAGATCAAGTCGTAGCTCCTATTTTCTCGCTTCTTAAAATTAAAGGATAGATAGACATTATCGTTATACATGTAATAATGCGATAAATACGTATCGGTATGAATTTTTTAGCATTAACGTTAATTACATGTGTTTTTTGCATAATGCTTTGCCAACTAAATTTAAATATTTGTTAATATCTGGTATAGTCACTTTATATAGAAACGCCATTCTTTTTATAATCGCAAAATAATCTTCTCCCTCCAGATCACAATATTCTGCTTTTCTTCTCGCCTACAGGCAGTGTCTATAAAATAATATACATATATTTTATTTTGTCAAAATTCTAATTCTGAAGTACCAAATTGCAAAAACGCCTATATAGCTAACGTCCGAATTACTTCACCAGTACGTATATAGAATATAACGTATACTACTAAGTCGAAAAAATTTTATTGTCTGCGAATTCGTCTCTGTGGCTGCGAATCCATCCATTTAAAGTTGGATGATCATCTTTTTATATACAACACGTATATTTATATGCGGTGATACATTGAAGATCAACCAATCAGATTTAAGTTCGCTATGCTGATCCAAGCATGGATCAAATCAATCAAAGAAATTAGCGAAACTTTATTCTTTGTTATATTTTAAATAGTAATACTATTCTATTTTTCAGTCATCACTACCTTTACTAGAGACACATTACAACCCTTGGCCTATATTATAATTAAACAACACCACTTATATTTATTTATCTCATTTATACATTATCCAACGAGCTTAACTTTTATTTTAGATTTAAAGATTATAAAGTAAATTATATATAAATAAAGCTTTTCTTTAAGATTAAACTTGCATTAAAATTTGCTTGTCTTTTTTCGTTGACTGTTATCAGCACAATAGTACATATATAAAGTTGGTAATAGCAATAAATAGTCAGGTTTTTTGTCTTCTAAGTGAAGTATGCAAGTTTCTGTATTCTTTTGCATAGTGAGTATTAACGTTCGTTTAAAGTTAGAAATGGTTTTTATGGTGATTTTTTATTAGTGAAATGTGACGTTCTCATCAAAAAGTACTTTAAAGTATATAAATAAGTTACCCGGGCAATTGATTTACGAAAGTCTGCCTATGGATTTGACATGTTAAAAATATTACAAGTACTATCAATAGTAATATTATTTCAATTTGCTCTTCACAGTTTTATTTATAAATTAATATATAATTCTAATACAATTCTTTAAGCCGGCATCTTTTCTTTAATGGGCGAAGATTCGTTGACTTAGTCAAATTGATTCCCCAGATCGTGATGTATTCTTTCACACAAATCTTTTTTAGAAGGAGGCCTAAAATTTTTTCCGCTATTACTTTCTGTGGTATACTTCAATATAATCGTCACAATTCAACAATAAATTAGCAACAGACTCGAAGTTATTCCTATTGTTAGTATATAATAGTGAGTGATTTTCTGAATTCCACTTTTTCAAATAAATTTGCCTTTTCTTAAAAGAAATAATATGTTGAACAAAAAGAGATTACAAGAACAAATTAAATAAAATCTTATTACAAAAATATTGTACAAATCAAATTTTCTATACATGATAGTTATACCAGCAACATCCCTTGAACAACCTCATTGAATATTGACAGGAAGACCAGCGATTGTCAAATAGATATATTTTTCCACCTATTTGTATTTTAATTATTTTCATTACTGTTATCCGTCTGTGTCTGGGAAGCAAGTCGGCCCGTGCTCGTTCGAATAGCATTGGTGTATTAAATTAACCACTGTTTTTATTGCTCTAGTGAACAAAATGGATAGAAATTCTGTGCAATCACGTTTTTGCGCTCCATAAATTGGGGCAAATGCATCTATAGCGATAGGGAAACAATACATGTACATGTATTAGGATAAACTTGATTTTAATTGTTCTATATAAACACGAATTTTTATTGTTTTCTAACTTATTTTTACATGTATTAAGTTATATTTGATTTCCTGTGTATTTTTAATGCTTATTATTGTTATTAGAAATATTAGTATTTGATTTCACGAAAATTTGTCTTTTAATTTGAATCGCAGCTATTAGATAATGGAACCAACAACAGAAAACACTCCACTAGTTACAACCACCAATACCTCTACATCCGATAATGAAGATAAGAGCACTTCATACGGCTCTATAATAACTTACATAGGCAATGACGAGATAGCTAGCTTAAATGAAAGCCACGTAATTCAAAATAATCCTGAAGAAGATGAAGATGAAAACTACTTGTGGTATTTAGGTAATTTTAGGTGATTAAATTTTTTTAAATTAATAATGAATTTTAATTATTCTCATTAAAATCAAAAGCATACGGAAGTGACATGAACAAAGAAATATTCGTCGGAAGACGAGGCATAAAGCCCAAACTCGCGCGTGCATGCCACGTGCCCAACTATTTTCTATCATTCGACTATGAAGTAAATCCTTACATGGAACCCACCTTCGCAAATATACTCCGTTTCTCCCCACCACTGCCAACTGATGGCAGCCACCCAATAATAACACAAGAATACGCCTGGGAAGTGCATCGTCGTTGTAATACAGGTGTACCGTTTGAATGGGACGAAACAAATCCCATGGATTCGTTGCCTCCTATGCTCCAAGGTGTACTTTATAAAATCACTAAGAAACAATATCAAAGGATTGTAATAAATGAAGGTGGATGGGGATGGGATGATGTTCTAGTTGGATATAAAGATATTGATGTCGAATGTATGACGTATGATAGAGAGAAAATTATCGCAAAAACATTGATTGTGAAGCCAGAATGTGTTTCAAATGATTTACAGATTTCTGAAAGGTATACTTAATGCAAATAAATAAATACCATTCGATGTTAATTAAGTTTCCTTTCCTCTCTTTCCAGATACCATAACATATTAAAAGAAGGTGCACGCGAACATAACATGGACGTCAACTATCAAACATACCTCGCCACAAAAATTATGCCATACAAAATTACAACCACCAGAAAAAAAATTGGAAAGGTGCTATTTCTTGTGTTGTTCTTTCCGCTTCTCTTGATTGCTAAGATGTTTGTTGCAATTACAATGAAGCTTGGTATGCGTGTGCCTAGATGGTTTGCTGTCTATATGTTATATTTACGGGAAGGAATACATATGGTGCATGATAGATTGTTTGAGCCGTATTTTGGAAGTGGGAATAATAACTTGGATGTGTGAGTACATTGTTTTTATTTTTGTTAAAAAATTTTTTATATGCAAGATTCCAACTAATAATCAAAATCTAGCGTTAGCGTTTCCATGGAAAGTAGTGGCAGTTAGTTTTTAAAGAAAGAGCAATTTTTAAAGAACAACCACACAAAAAAATTATTTCTGGAATGCCTCTGAGTAGGGCATCATAATGTATTTTCCTTCCATGTAAACGCATGCTTGAATACCATTTGACATGTTAAAAATATTACAAGTACATGTACTATCGCTAGTAATATTATTTCAATTGCTCTTCACAGTTTTTATTTATAAATTAATATATAATTCTAATACAATTCTTTAAGCCGGGCATCTTTTCTTTAATGGGCGAAGACTCGTTGACTTAATCAAATTGATTTCCCAGATCGGGATGTATTTTTTCACACAAATCTTTTTCAGGAGACGGCCTAAAATTTTTTTCCACTATCGCTATTACTTTCTGTGGTATACTTCAATATAATCATCACAATTCAACGGTAATTAGCGACAGACTCAAAACTATTCCTATTGCTAGTATGTGATTTTCTGAATTCCTCCCTCTCAAATAATAGTTACATGTATCTGGGAATGGCAGCCAATAGAGACCCAATAAATTTGCCTTTTCTTGAAAAAAATAATATGTTGAATAAAAAGAAATTACAAGAATTAAATTAAATAAAAAACCTTATCGTACAAATCAAATTCTCTATACGTGATAGTAATACCAGCAACATCCCTTGAACAACCTCATTGAATATTTTTCCACCCATTTGTATTTTGATTATTTTCATTACTGTTATCCGTCTGTGTCTGGGAAACAAGTCGGCCCGTGCTCATTCGAATAGCATTGGTGTATTAAATTAACCACTGTTTTTTATTGCTTTAGTGAACAAAATGAATAGAAATCACGTTTTTGCGCTCCATAAACTGGGCAAATACATTTATAGGGAAACAATAAATATATTAAGAGAAAGTTGATTTTAATTGTTCTATATAAACACGAATTTTTATTGTTTTCTAACTCATTTTTTATTAAAGTTATATTTTATTTCCTGTGTAGTTTTAATGCTTGTTATTGTTATTAGAATTATTAGTATTTGATTTCACGAAAATTTGTCTTTTAATTTGAATCACAGCTTACAACCACCAACGAGATATCTGGCTTAAATGAAAGCCACGTAATTCAAAATAATCCTGAAGAAGATGAAGATGAAAACTACTTGTGGTATTTAGGTAATTTTAGGTGATTAAATTTTTCTAAATTAATGAATTTTAATTATTCCAATTAAAATCAAAAGCATACGGAAGCAACATGAACAAAGAAATATTCGTCTGAAGACGAGGCATAAAGCCCAAACTCGCGCGTGCATGCCGCGTGCCCAACTATTTTCTATCATTCGACTATGAAGCAGATCCTTACGTGGAACCCACCTACGCAAATATACTCCGTTTCTCCCCACCACTGTCAACTGATGGCAGCCAATAATAACACAAGAATACGCCTGGGAAGTGCATCGTCGTTGTAATACAGGTGTACCGTTTGAATGGGACGAAACAAAGCCCATGGGTTCGTTGCCTCCTATGCTCCAAGGTGTACTTTATAAAATCACTAAGAAACTCAAATGCTTGTAATAAGTGAAGGTGGATGGGGATGGGATGATGTTCCGTTTGGATATAAAGATATTGATGTCGAATGTGTGAGAGAAAATTATCGTTTACAGATTTCTGAAAGGTATTCTCAATGCAAATAAATAAATACCATTCGATGTTAATTAAATTTTCCTTTCCTCTCTTTCCAGATACCACAACATATTAAAAGAAGGTGCACCGAGCATAACATAGACGTCAACTATCAAACATACCTCGCCACAAAAATTATGCCATACAAAATCACAACCACCAGAAAAAAGGCACTATTTCTTGTGTTGTTCTTTCCGTTTCTCTTTATTGTTGCAATTACAATGAAGATTGGTATGCGTGTGCCTAGACGTTTTGCCGTCTATAAGTTAGGTTTACGGGAAGGAATACATATGATGGATGATAGATTATTTGAGCTGTATTTTGGAAGTGGGAATAATAATTTGGACGTGTGAGTGAATCGTTTTATATTTATTTTTGTCAAGAATTTTAATATACAAACTTTCAATAACTAACTAACTAACTAATGATCAAAACATATTTCTGTTTCTTATACTTCGATATAATAATCATGATTCAATGGTAAATTAACAACAGAATCTAACACTAAGCTATTCCTATTGCTAGTATGTAATAGTGAGTGAGTTTCTGAACTTTTCTTTCTCAAATAATAGTTATATAGCGATTCACAGAGAATGGCTGCCAATAGACCAAAAATGAGACCGAGTAAATTTGCCTTTTATTAAAAAAAATAATACGGTAAATAAGGTAAATAAGAAATTACAAGAGTAAAATAAAAACACGGAATAAATAAAACTTGATTACCAAAATATCGTACAAATCGAATTCTCTATACTAAAGCATGGAATGATGTAAAAATATATTTTATCGGTATGCATGCTACGTGTTCAAAAAACGTACGATGGAAATACATACCGGCAACATTCCTTGAACAACCTCGCTGAATATTGACAGGAAGACCATTACACCGATTGTCAAATAGATATTATATTTTTTCCATCTATTTTCGTTTTCAATATTTGTATTTTGATTAATTTCGTTAAGGTTAATATCGCTTAGACTATCGATAACTTCTTCCTCGACTTGAATCCGAAATACATTCTCAGTCTGATTCTCGTTAACCATAACTTCATTATTAACATAATTTTTTTTTCTCGACCAAAAACCAACAGCACTCATTAAGATCCTCTTTATCCACGTCCAAAAATTGTCATTATCATCTAGCTTCTCATCTTCACAATCTAACACAAAATGTACAAGAAACGTCAATATAGCAAACCCAAAAAAATGCAACAATTTATCCCAGACGTGTATATTCACGTCTTTTGCGAAGCCAAGATACGAGAGAATTAACGTATGAATGAGAACTAGCATGAGGGGAAATCGTCGAAATAAAATTGACATTTTGATTTGGTACATGTATTTTGCAATAAATGCGTGCGTAATACGTACACAGTCAACTCCGTTATTACATGTATAACTGTTTCTAGAACCAAATTCGGTTTAACGGGAGGCTGATTGTGTTTAGTTCAGTCATATCGATATCGATAGTACGTAAAATCTTGTTATAATCAAAATATCGATATACAAAACTTTCCGGTATAAACGTAAACCTTAAAGCCACAAGCATAAAGAAATCCTAAAGAATAATACTGTAAACAGCTGGAAATGATTGATTTCAGAGTACCGTAATTTACTGCCTAAGACACCCGGGTCTTAGTTAATTAGTAAAAAAAAAGAAAATTGGGGATCTAAGGCAGTAAATAACCAAGGAGATATTGCCCAAGTGGACTGTTTTTGTTTATTCTCAATAAGAATGATTCGACTACTTCGAGTTTTTGTGATTTGGTTGTTTCGTAAATCAAAATGAAATGCACATTTCAAAAACTTACTCGTTTTTTTGCAGTTATACAACAAAAAAAGTTTGCAAAGAATTATATACGCAAACTTTAAGGAAAAAAGATATTGTTCTTGAAAAATAGTGCCAAAATGCAGTAGAACGACAACGATAAGAAATGTCTGAAGCTAGGAAAATTCAAAATGTCGAATATATTAACAAATGAGAAGAAAAATTAATATATAGCATATGGAGATTTTTTTAATTTCCATTGGAATTTTCAACTAATCGGTATACAGTATAGACTGTCAGTGTTGTCACTTTACTATGTCCAGTAATCAGAAGTTACTGGACTTATAAATTACTAAGTCCAGTGGACTATGTCCAGTATGGTCCAGTTGACAGCACTGACAGACAATATGGATTCGTTAATCAAACATGCGAAAATTCAACTTTTCCAATAATATATCAGTTTTACGCCGCAAAAATTCCCACGATAATCTATGACTTTAGTAAGAGAAACTTGAATGTTTCTGAAAGTTACGTCTTCCGGTATTACAAATAGTAAAAAAAAATACTATTGATTTTCACCCGGAAAGTAAAAAAAGCAACATGACTGCACCAAAACAAGACACTTCAGCAACAAAACCACACGTCGAACCCCCTCATCTCATCGAATTCTCTAAAGTACTCGATGAACTCCATAAACTCCAAGTGAGCGCGTTAGTTCCACAACCAGACAAAGAGCAAATCCAAGCACTAGTCTACGCGCGCACCACCGACACGATTTCCTTGGCGCTCGCACAATTCCGTAATCATAATATCATCAGTTTGCCAATCTTCGATACGATTAAAGGAAAATTCGTGACGATGATCAATGTTGTGGATGTGATGCGCTTTATGATGTTGCGCGAGTTCTACAAGATTGATCCGTCGTATAAGGAAGAATTGACCAAGCTTTATGAGTGTAAAATGGAGGATGTGATTGCTGCTGTTGTGCTTAATAGACCGTTTCGAGTTTATCATGTGACCGATCCTTTATTTGTTGCGCTTCGTGTGAGTAATTTGTTTGAAATGATTAGCTCGTGGTAACGTAACGATATCTTATGTAAAAATTAATGCATCTTTAGGCGATGGAAGCTGGTAATGAAAATGTCTATGGGATTTTAGTGTCCTTTGCGGAGGATAAAGAGCAAATCGAATCGGATATCAAACACGCATTAATTATCACTCAATGGGATGCCATCAATTTCCTTTTAAGAAACGATGTTGTACGACGTCATGGAAAATTGGATACGTTACCAGCGAAACAAGTTATGCAACGTGCTTGGATCACCTTCACAAAGAATGATGATCCCAATCAACCAACTCATCGTTTACCAATTACTCCTGGTAGATCCACTTTTGCATTGTCTGTACTGAAAGATGTTAGCGCTTTTAGTGCACTTAGAAGCATGGTAAATATTATTCTCTGTTATTACTTCATTATCTGACCATTACTACTAATCCGTATACCGATCTTGTTTCTAGTCTGCTCATCATATATCTTCTATCGCGGTCGTAGAAAAAGATGCTGCTGGTACTATAAAACTGATTGACAATCTTTCTGCATCCGACATCCGTTTCATTACCGTTGATAATCTGGCAGATGGGTTCCTGGAAGTGACCGAATTCCTTAGTAAAGTTCGCGGACATCCAGGAAAACCAATCTTGTGCGATGAAGAAACACCTCTTGTTCAGATCATGGAGATGGCCTTGAAAAATAATGTTCATCGTGTATGGATCGTTGAACATAGCACTGGCAAACCAATTGGGCTTTGTTCGATGTCTGACATGTTGTCGGTGGTTGTTGGCGTTAATGCTTAATAAAATAGCACTAGTAGGCAAGGTTCATTTGATATATAAGTATGAAATAATTTTTCGCTAATATTTAAAGGGGTAAAAATCAATAATTAATATATATGTATTGATTGCTAATTATCATTATATTACAATAAATTGAAAAAATAGTCGACAGAAATAAGCAAGTTTTCTTATTTACCAACAGTGCTAATAAGAATTAAATCCCTTAATTGCGCATTTAAAACAATTAAATTACACTGTTAACTATAAACCTTGGCCCATCAACCAAAACACAAGGTCCTCCATAAATCAAATCGATTCCTGCATGTTCAGCAAACTCATCACAATCCGGATACTCTGCTCCCGGTTGTAACCAAATGCGTTTGATTCCTAACTATCAGATAAGACGCGTGAGATGTCACACCAATTTATGATTGATAACCAGTATATGATTGATTGATTGATTGATTGATTGATTGATTACCTTTGCAGCCTCTTCCAAAACCTGTTTGGTAACTTTTCCCGGTGTGATAACTGAAACAGACGTGTCTGTCGCGTCAAGAAGGGTTATTGAGCTTAAATTTGGGACGCATTGTAGATTTTCGATCGTGGTTTCACTCTGATTATGATGGGAAATAGAAAAAAATTCTAGTTAGATTATGGTCTCCTTGTCGGATTATTTAATAAGTCAAAGAGCGCTTACAGGATTAACAGGTATCACTGGGCGATTATTCGCAATGTACCTTTTCAATATTGAATGATTATCAAGGGTGAATGTCGACATTTACAGGTGGATATACAAATACATACCATTTTAAAACCTTGTTTCCGTATTTTGTGGGAACACTAGAAGCTCCAACAACTGATGTGATCTATCATATTAATATTCATATTTTAACTAGCTAACTGGTTATTGTTATCTCATACTTACCAGCGTAAAGTTTGGACGAAAAAAAGTTTGAAATGAATGAAGAGGTTGCAGCTCGCGTTCTCGGTCGCATCTTATACTCGGGATGGAGATGGTTAAATCAAGACTTGTCATTGATCGGACCGATAGCCGATCATTTATACCCAGTGTTGGTCACTGGACATAGTCCGGTCCAATTTTAGTCCAACGATTCTAATTCCAGTAGACCTGGACCAGTTTTATACCATATTAACCATTTTGCATATATATATACAGGTTTCGTAACAAAGACATCGACGAAAGCAAAAGAAATTCGATCATACAATTTATGAAAATCTGACCAGCATTACTATGCATATTTTGTCATATCATCAAGGCCGCGTTTAAATAATACATATGTATTGAGGCTATTTTTAAAACAACTGCAAATATTATAGGTTGAAGCATTGGAATAGAAATACATTTTTATTAAATCTAAATATCAATATAATCACATCCTATACAGTCATACCCTTTCTACAATCACATCTTCCCCAGTTCCAGCTATTATGAAGTAGAGGAAATTCGACCTCCATATAGTCACAACCTCTTTCAAATCACGCCTTTGCTTGTCCTGAAGATGTGAAAATGATCCTTGTATCTCCGAAAAAGATTGATTGTCCGATCAAAAAAGTATTGTCAACAATACTCTCATCACACTAATAGTACCCTACAATTATCTATAATCTACATACACACCGTTACAGATTCATAATTTAGGAGACACTTCACCGCGCTTCGCCTGTGCATACTCAAACACTTCACGCATTTCATCAGCAGCTTCACTCAAGTAATGCCAGATTTTATCATTCTGTAAACGTAACGATACAATATTGAAGTTGAGGAAATTGTTATTGACCATGTATGCAATACCATAGCCATCAGGTACTACTTCACCCCAACCATAGCCGACAAAGTGTTCGGATGACAGTTGTGAGGTCGATAGTGACCAGTGGGTGGATGTCGCGTACGTCGGATCAGTGAAGATTGATGGCTTAGATTCGCCGGGTTTGAGAGAGAGACGAAGCCCTATGTATCAAAAAAGTGATTGCGTCGGTTACTTGGGTGGATAAAAAATTATAACTATAATAATGACTTACCTAATAAATGGCGATCACAACCTCGCCCTTCTACGGCTTCGTTCATGTATTTAACATGAGCTTCAATTGCTTTTCTACCCAAACGGGCTTTTTCTTCAATCTTAAATAATGCGAAAGATTAAATTCATTCTTTGCACGTAAAACGATTCAAAATTAATCATTTCTACCCATACCGAAACATGAGGATCTTCCATCGCCTTAACCCATTTCACCGAATCATTCGACACAGAACGACAAACTTCTGTTCTTCCATGCTGGAATTTTCTTGTCTGCGCACTCTCATACGTAGCCTTGCTGTAACCATAAGTCTTATAGTAGGCCAATTGTATAATCATTTGCACATATGCATCCGGTGAAAATCCAAGTTTCTTTATGATATTCTTACCATAACCTTGGTATGCTTGCACGCGAAGATCGTGCTTGGCAACAAGGTCATCAAAATTTTTTTCTGCTTTTCGAATGTCGTCGATGATTTGTTTGTTGAAGGTGAATTCTAATTTGTTCGGAGTTGGTAGATTAGATCGAACATCCGCAGATCCATGCTCAACTTTATTCTTGGCAATAACATCGCAGACATAGTCATTTAGACGGCATGTGGGTGTACCGTCCATTGAAGAATGCTTGATAGGTAACGAGAGTTAGAAATCCTAGATATTACCAGGGAATGTAACTAAGGCAAATATAAATATAAATATATAAAAACCTCGCCCATGAAACCAGCCTTTCCATTCTCAAAAACGATAAATTGAAGCGATTTATCGTTGAAACGATTTCGACCGTCTCCAACCCAACAAGCATGACTAATTTCTTCTCGCGTAATTGGGCTTGTATCATCCAAACAAACTGCAAAGGCTGAAGTTTCAATCTTGTGCAATAACTCTTCATTCTTTGGATCTGCAGCTATGAATAGTTTACGGGCCTGCATAAACCATATATGTTATTACAGTTGATAAGATCGTCGCTAGAGAGTAAGAGAAAATGAAATTCACCTCGGTCCAGGTATCTCGATTTTCTGATGTAAGCGCGCCTAGAGCAGGATCTTTAGTATAACCAGCCAAATCATAGATTTTACGGATTTGACTTGAAGAGAGACCAACAGCAATAACAAAATCGCGTTAGTCTTAATTCGAGACGCGTCATATATATAAATATAATTGGTATACCTTTCGAGTTCTGCAGTAGACAATTGTTTACCGTCCTTTGCCAATTCCAAAATGTAAAATTTGTTGTTTCGAATCACCGTTATATGGTTAAACGTGTTATGATCGTAAACTTTTTCGTAATCCGATGGTTTCGCTGGGTATCTACAAGCGTGAAACATGAATTTGTAAGAGTCCATACAAATAGGAAGACCCTTTGCGTATTCAGGTTCGAGCTGTTCACTAAAGGAATAATCAATTATATTAACAAACGAAACAGCCAATAATTGATAAGAACAAAATACAACAATTTCTTACTTTACAACCAGTTTTCGAAACTCTAAAGCGGCAGTAATAATTGAAGCAGCACGACTTGCCGGTTCCTTTCTTAATTTATCATCTTTGTAGGCAAAGAAGTAACTCACGTACACAACCACTGGATCCCTATATCCTAAATAGGCTAAATCATTCCACCAATCTTCCAACCAATTCACGACCTTAGGGTCACTGGCTCTTGCCAACAAACGTTTTTGAAGCTCTTCTCCGACTCCACCAGGTTTTTTGAACTCTTCGACGACTTGTTTCGTATTTGCGTATTGTTCCTCGGTTACGAGTGGCTGGACTGATTTCAAGTATACGTCGAGAGTGTCAGCTAGCACAGGAACCGGAAGACGAGGTAATGCTTTTTGATAACGGTACATTGGTCCGACTGAAGTATCAACCGGATATGGGATTGGTTTTTTTGGAGCAGGAGATGCTGCGGTTGCTGCTTTTGAGGCAGTGGCGGCTGAAAACTTTCTTTGTACCATATTGCTACCTTGATATGACTAGCATCACAAGGCATAGTAGTAGAAAAGCAACTGCATTATTACTCTTTCACATAAATGGACTAAAGAAGCTATAATATATGAGTACCTGTTGCTTTGTCTGTAAACTTAAATTTCGGGCAAGCGAACGGTTGAAACCAAACTTGAAAAAAGACATACAGGAAAAAAGTAAATGAAGGATTATGATTGATTATCCAGTTAAATAAATTAAAATGATATGCAATCTAAGGATACACCATGCAGATCATGACTTACCTCATTTACCTCATTTACCAGAAGAGATTCTCATTTGCCGGAAATAAATGGGAAAAGACAAAAAAAGTGGTTCGAGCGGGGGTAAAGAAAGCGGAAGTAAGGCAACTAAAGGGAACAAGGATGCGAATAAAACTTCAAAAAGTGGAAAAAAAGGGACTACAACTGCGGTTGGTAAGTCTATTACTAGTCGTTAAAGAAAAGAGCAAAAATGCAAGTTCATCGCGTGTTAATCTTGATAAAAAAAAATTAGATGAAGAAAAGTCTGGAAAAGGTGGGAAATTGAAGGCAGCTAATTCAATAAAGGTTTGTGGATAAATATTCCAATTCTTTGTTAGTTAAGAAAATCCATTCATTATTCGAATTCAATGATGTAGGTTCGACATATACTATGTGAAAAACATTCAAAGGTAATTATTAATGAATTTACAATCAATAATACAATCAATAATTACAATCAATAATTACAATCTAATTTGAAGCATTTTGCATTTAGATCACAGAGGCACTCGAAAAAATAATAAACGAGAACATGCGATTTGATAAGGTATTTATTATTATTTTTTGGTTATTATTAATTTCAGTTTATTTATTTTATGCGTTTATTATTATTGTTATATAGGTCGCTGAATTGTATAGCGAAGATAAAGCAAAACAAGGAGGTATATACTAAAGTGTATATGAGAATTATTATAGAAGAAACCGTTGATTATATCTTATATTACATAATAGGAAGTTTGGGTTGGATGACAAGAGGATCGATGGTTGGTGAATTCCAAGAGGCGGCATTTGCATTACAACCGAGTGCGTTAGGTGAGCAAGTGTGATTGTTAATCTGCGTAGTGTTATATTTATCCATGTTTTAAATTTATTCTATAAATATGTCCAGATAATCCTGTAATTACTAATCCACCGGTAAGTTATTACTGTGGTTTCAATTATAAGCTTGTTGATGTTTCTTATGTATTACCTGATTTGATTAAATGACTAATGCGTCCTTTCAAACCTTTAGATAAAAACGAAGCATGGGTATCATATAATAATGGTGGTATGTTTATTTTTGTTTTGCGTACTGGAGATTTAATATACGTGCTGAATCCTTTTGTATTTTTGTGTGTATTAGGAGGATAGAAAATAATAATCTATGATATTATGCTGATGATATGTGCTGGCTTAAGCTCAAAGAATTTTGATGACGACAGTATTGCATGCAAGTTGGTATATCCGCAGTTTGTTACCATATTTATAACGGAATGATTTTGGTGAAGTTTGACTAATTTAATGATCTAATTTCTGTCATGGTGTATAATTATTATTAGCAAGAATTTTGTTTTTGAAAGAACACAATCTGTATATATTTTTTCTTAAAAAAACGATATATTATTGTTCACGTGTTCTATTTCTATTGTATGACTTGAAGTTAAAACCGTGCATAATCTTATATAATTAAAAAGCCCTCTCTATTTTCATATCTTTAATCACATTATAATTACCAAGAACACCCCGAAAAATTATGCTCACCCGGTTAATGTTAATTGTTTAAGGGTCAGTTAAGCTTATATGTAAGATTGCCTCACCGACATTTTTAATTAGTGCACCAATTTAAAAAAATCAAATTTTATTGCTAATTGTAAAGAAAGTGTTAATTAAAATTCTATTAAAAATCTTTTCAATTATTCATTAACGTTAATTTTGAAGTTGGATTTAGGCAGGTGCTTTCCATATAAACTTAAAACACTGAATTTATAGTTCTGTTGGTTAAATGTATTATACCACGTAATTATATGCACTATGCGATTATATGCACAATCATTAATTAAGAAAGAAATTTAACTGGCAATTCAAGTCGCTAAGTACCTTACTCCTTCCCCACAATTTGTAAAAATTTAAACCTTGATTTAACCTCAAGGCTATTAATTTAGCAATAAAGTTCTTAAGAAATTCTTGTTTTATTCATTTTGCAAAAAATACTAAAAAACTTCAACTACAAAGGGGCATTTAACTTTTAGCTCTCGTGACTTCACTGCGCCACATATTAAGGCTAAAGAACCATTCATTCTAAGGATGAATTGACTTCGCGTTCGGCCAGCAAAAATTATAATATATATTTGTGTGTATATATATATACAACTTCGAAAAATCACAGTTAGCGTTAGTAACTACTACTTAATTTTGATCAAAATTTATAATGCCAAATTTATGACCTTACATATATTGTAATGAAATTAATATTTGTCATAGAACAAAATCCATGTTGTAACTGATATCGTAGGTTATTGCTTGCATATACACCGAAGTGTTCAATAAAATTTTTCCAAAACCTTCGCTCCGATGTGAAGGATTGTTTAAGGTGTGAAAATAATAATAGTGATTTATAACCTCAGTGCCTTTTTAGTCAGACTTTAACTTAACAAATACTAAACACACCGTAGATTTCAGAAACTTCAATATACTCGTCCCAATGTAGGGACTTTCAAACGACAATATTGAAGTTGCAGTGCATGGACGATATTTAAAATTATTTGATGAGCTTAGCATCGACAATACAGAAAAATAGATGCCGATGGAAAAGGTGGTAGTATCAGTAAATGGGCGACAATCTGGGAAACTGCAAATTACTGTCCAAAAATGAAGTTCAAATAGAATAACATAACGATAATGTTCAATCACTTTTGGACATACAATTAATTATCGCAGTTTTTTGTTCCGTTTCGTCCCATTTGAAAGACTAATAAATCGTCTTTCTCAGGAGTAGAGATTGGATCCGGGTTAGGTACAACGGGCGGGTCGGATATCCGGGTTGCGGTCGTAGCTACCCGTGTGTATGATGGTCCTGTTGCTGTTGCTGCAGCAACTGCAGCAACTGTAAGTCTTGCTGCTGGACCAGTTGGATATTTTGAAGATGTACTAACACCACCTGAAGAGTTACTCGCGGTGGTGCGTGTCAACCCGTCGGTTAGTTCCAGCGTTGAGTTCATTTGCTAGGTCAATCTAAGCCAGAATCTAAATTTGTTAATCTAGAATGTAACATGAATAAATGCAGGAAATCAAATTACCTCTAAAAGAACCTGTTTGGCGCCTGAAATAGTGAGCAAATTATTATTTGTTAAATGGAATGGTTTATAATGGGTTTAATAAATTTACAACGGGTAAAATTAGACGGTCCAATCTTCTGAAAGTGCCAGCAATACGATTTACCGGTGCAAATTTTTGATCAGCCCGGCAAAACAATCCTGACCCTTATCCTAAAACCAACCTTTTAATATTTATCAAACTTTCTTCGTGTTGCGATATACGATTTTCGAAGTCACTATTTTCATCACTCCGATTTTGTAAAGTTCCAGATGTCTAATCAAGTTAATTAGATATTAATTTATTGATCTGTTTCTTTTTTCGAATTGTGGAATGACTTCGTTTTTCTTGAATTTTATATTATTATTGCGTTGGCTGTGCAATGGCTTCTTTTTTGAATTTATACTGCTATTGTTATTGTTATTCGCGTTGGCTGGCTGTGCACTCACTTTTCTTGAATTGGAAGGATTTGGATGAAAAACAATTATTTGTAATTGGATATTGTAAAAAATTTGTCGATTGGATTTTTATAATGAAACTTTGAATAATTGTATTTTGAAAATGAATCATTAGATTTAAATGAACTTGGTTTCAAAAGTTCATATTCCCTTAAAAAAATGAATATCTTTTTTAGTTTTTAAGAAAAAATTGATTCCAATTTTTTTACTTGGATCTCAATTTTATATAAATCCATTTTGATTATTAAAATAAAATTAGTATAATGGTATCTATATATAATTAAAATGAGTAAAAAGATCAATGCTCAAAGTTTAAATTAATAAAAAATTTCTTAATCACTAAATATAATCATTAATAAAAATAATAAAAGCAAAATATATAAATAAGAGTGCTAATATACAGTAGCAATCAAAAAGAATGCAACACTTAAATCAAATTCTTTAAATTACATTATTTTTAAAAAATTTAAAGATATTAAAGTAATCAGTGATTGATTTGATTTATTATGTGCCATAATTTTTATTAGTATAAATACAATATAGATTATTAAATAAAATATTTTAAAATTTAAAAAATATTAAAATTTAACTATTAACTATTATATTATTTTTGTTCTTTTTTCATTAAACAATTTTAAATTATTAAAACAATTAAAACTTCATAATTTATTTTTGATTTTTTAACTAAACTAAATATATTAAATAATATTTAATATTTTGTATAGCTCTCTTTTACTATTATTATCTTTTGAATCCTTCTTGATATTGATTCAATTAATATAGTATATTAATCTCTTTTCATACTTTTTTAATTTTTTTCTATAAGTCGTTCCATCCTGAAATTGTATCAGGAAAATTATGCAACTTAATGTCAACTTGCTGTCATAGATATTAAATTGGGTTAAGATCTGGAAATTGTGATAACCAATTTATAATATTAATTTTATTATCAATGAACTATTATTTCATTAAATTCATCATATGCTTAGAGTTATTGTCCTGTTGGAAAATAATATTATTAATATTTAAATTGTATTATTTTAATATTTGCATTAATTTGTCAAACAAATTTTTTTATATAATTTTTTATTCATTATCTCATTGATTTAACATAAAAATCCAATATCATACAAATAGAAATAACTCTATATCATAATTTTCTTATCCCAAACTTGATTATAAATTTAATATGTAAGAGTTTTTATATAGAATAACTGGAATAAATTTCACATTAATATATAAATCTAGAAATAGTTATACATCCAATTAGATTATTTGTTTTTTATCACATAATCAACCAATTAAAAATAAAAATATCTTATTAATCAACAATTAAAATTACAAAGAAATTTTATTATCAAATTCTTTATAATTTAAGAAATTTGAAAATATAAGTTTTATTATTATTGAACAAAAATTGACAAAGATATTCAAGTTTAAAGTTGAGTAATAAAAATTCAGAATTCATATTTCATGTATAAAATTTATAATTCATTAATTAAAAATAATAATATATCATCAATCAACAATTAAAATTTCAAAAATTTTTATATTATTGAGATCTCTATAACCTAAAAATAAGAAAATATTAAAGTAAAATAGTGCAATTCAGATTGAATTGATTTAAATATAATTCATATTAATTTGATTTAGATTGCATATAATATTACATGCAAAATAAAATAAACTTTTCAAAATGAGAAATATTATTGTAAATATTATCATATTTAAGAGCAATATTATTTTTTTTAAAAGGATAAAAAGAGAAGGAGTGAGAGAAAAGAAAGCTAATTATGATTATTATGTTAAATACAAGCTAATTATGATTTTATATTAAATATGAACTAATTAAGTTATTAAGATATAATAATATTTATAACTATTAAGACATGCATTAATATATACACTTACTATTTTTTTATATGTTCTCATTATTTCTCTATATATTTTCACCATTTCTCTATATTATATACTCTCATATTTTACTATACTCTCATATTTCACTATACTTTTACATTTTACTATACTCTTATATTTCTTTATACTTTCATATTTTACTCATTATTTTTTTCTATATACTCACTATTTCTTTATATACTTACTATACTTGTTATTTTTATATTTTTTTAATATGCAAATAATGAATTTCTCTGATATGTAAGCAACAAGTCTCTCTGATATACAAACAATAATTAAAAAATATCTCAATATATTTAATATCAATAAATTATTTGAAGTTTCAGAAAAAGAATTTTATAAGAATTTGTGAGTATATATAAAGAAGATATTCTCATTGAGAAGTGAAAAAAGATGAGCAAGCTCAATTCTAGAAAATATAATATAAGAATAAAAATAATACATATTACTTCAATTCAAATAGTTTATGTTGAATATTTTAAAAATGCACCTAATCATAGCCATCTAATTGAAATAATAACAAGACTAAATGATCTAAAATTATTAAACAAATAGTAATTAATGAAATAATAAAGTTGTATATTTTATCAATTATTATAATTATTATTAAAGAACTCATAGAAAAGAATAATTTAGATATTATTGGTCAAAATCTACACTAAATAGAAGTCATTAACATTCAACAAAAAATATATGAGCTATTAATAGCTTATCTCATCAACAAGCATAATTTAGAGCTTGACATTCAAAATGCTTTTAAGTTATTAGTTAGCAAAAATTATAAAGTTAAAGATTTTGATATTACTTAACAATTATTAAAAGATTTTTGTTTACAGATTCTTGATAATTGGAAAAATTATAATGCTATGGATGACTTATACTTGTAAATTTCATTTACAACACTAATAAATACTTCTGATATTTATTTACTTTGTATGTCTATGATAGTTATAGTTATTGAAATATGAGTGTACACTTTCTTATAAGTAATGAAGACAGTAATATGATAATTAATACATTGAAGATAATTCGAAAATTCACATCTTGTTGACATTCTCAGTACATATTCATAATTATAATAATATAAAAATTAATAGCATCACAAATATTTTTTCCAGTATTATACATAATAAACAAAATTATGACATTATTTTATATACTATTTATATAATATTTATCATTCAGTAATGCATAATAAATTAATTCTAGCTATGTATAAGAGAATAAATATAAATTATAAGAAAGTAATTTGTAATATCATCATTACTTATTCTATTCCAAATATTATTCACTATATTTAATATAATTATTCAAAAAACATGAAGAAATAAACAATTTGAACACATTAACATTCATCTCTCTTACTTCAAGTTACTTTTATGAATTCATTGAAATTATTTCACAATAAATTAAAAAGATTAACCACAAGAAAATATGACTTAATTGGAAAGTATTATTAATTGCTATTATTAACTATGATTATAGCTTGATTTAGTAACTATATTACATCTTTCTTCATCATTATTACCAAATTACTGCTTCTTGATTTATTAGGAATATGTCACAAAATCATTAAACTCAATAATAAAAAGTTGCTGAATTCAGAAAAAGCTACTTTTAATTTTTGTCAAAAATAAATCTCTGCAATCGATATTGATAATGAAATTCTTGAGAAAATTCAAAAATTTCTCTATCTAATCCAAAAGCTAATTTTAAATAAGACTATTGCTATGAATATTAGGATTACAAAAAAAAGCTGTCATCAAATCTGACATTATCAAATTGTTATTGTATATTTTTTTATCACTATTTTCTTTCTTGTCAACATATTCTTCATGAGTATTTATTCAGTTATAATAAGTTACTAATAATTAATATTTGAAAGAAATTTTAATAATTATTTGTGAAAAGTATATAAGCATTAGAAGATAATTGAAATATCTGAATCTGTTTAAATTCAAGAGACAGAAATATGTAAGTTATAGGTGGATAAACTTATAGAAAGAATGTGAGATAAATATTAGACAATAGAGGATAAAGATAATATAAATGTCACTAAAGTATTTATTACTTGTTTAGATAAATTATTGATTTAGTTTTTAAAATAGCAATATAAAGAATTTTATATTTAATTGAGAAATAATATTAATAAAGTAATTAATTAAATAGTTAAATATTTTTAAGTGATTTATTTTTCTTTCTTTCTTCTAATTAATATGTATTTTTAACATTTAATAATTAAATAATAATAATCTCTTTTCATTAATATGCATTCTCTAATAATTAATACTCTTAAAATAATATATTATAATTCACATTATTTGATTCAATCAATTATGAATTTTCACATAATTTTAATCACATTATACAATCTGAATTGAATTACATATCATATAATACTATCTTGCTTTAGTGAATCTCTAAAAATATAAGTTTTATTATTATTAAACAAAAATTAATAAAGATATTCAAGTTTAAGTTAAGTAACAAAAAATTCAGAATTCATATTCTGTATATGAATTTATAATTTACCAATTA